ATCCCCACTACAGGAACCTCTGCAATATGAAACTGCCTTCATTGTTGTCAGTTTCTTTACTTTCGTCCACAGATGGCACTTCAAATGAAATGTTGCCAACAATTGGCACATCTAGATTATTTTTGGCGGCGGGTTCCCTGACGATCACACCCGTTTAACACCGTTGTCGTGTTTCCTTTCTTCTTAATATATCTAACTTGATTATAGCTTAATATGTTGCTGGTTATGTGGGTGAGAAATCGAGATCCTTGTATAGCAATTGCGACAATATTTCTCAAGACAACGTCAGAGTGACGCAACCGAAGTAGAGCTGTGAAGGTCTATAGTTAAATCTTTTTCAGTTAGTGGCAGTGGCGCCTACTGAATTTACTCTAATTTAATCATAGGAACCGAACTAGAATTTCAGCTGCGGTAGGGCCACGCAACAGTCGTTGCACGAATGGTCAGGTCCATCCGGGGAAGTACCACGACCTCACAGAACACCGGCGTGGAGTGGAAGTGTCATACTTCTGTGTTGCGTCTGGCGATTGAGATGACCCGAGCCCACTATTAAAAGGCGGCAACCATCTGCAACCCTACTGGAGTTGCAAATGTCCATGGACGGCGGTTATCAGTTAACATCAGGTGAACCACCAGCTCGCGTGCCACCTTCACACGTAACAAGTAATTTTTATTAACGAAAAACAAAACCCACTTCAAATATCTCGCTCTGTATTCATTTTATAATGGATTTTAATGAGTTCCCTATGTACCTCCGGACCTCAAAATATTATAGCATTGAAATTATGGGACCAGATGGGAAGCACCAGCTTTCAAATAGAAAAGGAATAATCAAAATCGCTGTACTCAGTCGAAAGTTCTGAGGTAACAAACATAAAAAAATACAGTCCAATTTAGAACCTCCTTCTTTTTTGAAGTCGGTTGAAAACAAGGAAGCCGTGCTCGTCTCAAAGCTCCGTGTCCGTGAGCTTGTTTTTAATTCAATATCCTCGAGCAGCCCGAGTTCGATTCCCGGTGCCGGTACCAACGGAAATAATAATTACACTTTAAGTGCTGGCTTTATCACATGCTCAGCGGTGAAGCAAAACATCGTTATGAAATCTGCAGAAAAATACACTTCGAAGATATGTGAAGTCTGCCAATACGCAATGGTTTCTATGGTATGCCTTAATACCCACTGAACACTCCTTGGTTCAGCAATGGGATATGAACAGTCCGTTACTTTCTTTTACTTAAATCCTAGCAGGACACGAAACCTTAACTCATAATTTAAAACAAGTTGCTATCGAACTCTTGTAGCCATAAACGTTAAATGGATTACATATACTTATTAATTTTGCGGCTGTCTTTCTCTGTGTCTATCTCTCTCTTACACGTGCTTTCTCTCATATGTGCCTAAAACTCAATAGTGATTTTAAGGACAGCTAGTTCGTTGAAAACTTTAAAGCCTTCTCAAAAGTTTCACATCGGCCTTTTGAACATCGTAAATTTCAAGCAGCTTAGAGGCAAAGAAGCTTTTATAAGTGTTCATAAAAGGTTTTTTGCAATCTCTGTAAAATCCCCGCTGTAAAGTATAACATGTAAAATTGTCACTAACACGCGAGAAGAGAAGAAAAAAACACAATATCTTGCGTTCTACGAACGTCAAGAATCCGTACCAGCGTGAAGAAAGTGTTTATAGTGTTGAGGTAACCAGAAGCACCTACTTAAACTACATGGATCAAGGCAAGGGAAAACGCAACCCCACTCTAGTGGTTCTGTGAATATTAGTAGAATTTAGTAATCAGATCAACCGCCAGCTATTTGACATTTTCTTAAATAAAAGCGTAAACTTCAAACTTCATGTTGACCAACGGTAAACTTACACTATTTGACGACTTGTTTATAGTACCTGTTACTTATTGGTCTGTAACTCAACGGATTATTAAATGACCGTTCCTTGCTACATAAGAAAAACTTTACCCACAATTGTTGCTTAGTTCAGCAACTGATGCCAAACTGACTAGACCAGGAATAGAATGTGACCTATAATTTTATCACACTTGCTAACCGGAACTTGTCCGAGCATACCTTGTAAAACTACCCCCGTTTTCCTGACCGGAAGCGCGCGGTGGTGGGCGGAAGTGGCGAAAGCGGCGGAAGCGGCGGACATTGGGGGCGACGCCTCGCGCGTGCCTCCGTTTAAAGGTACAAATCAACGAAACTTTTGTGTCAACAACTAATCGCTTTTGTAAAATAACACCTAAACGCGATGATGTAGAGTTAATAACGCCCTAGCACAAATATAACAAATTCGAAACTATGAGCCTTTGACCTCGTTTCACGTAACTCGTGAACGGATTTGAAACAGATTAGGATTCGAATCCATTATATCAATGTAGCTTGTACGCTGAGTTACCAGGAAGATCACACATAAAGTTTCGTTAGGAAGAGCCAAGGTCCGGGTTCGATAGTTGTAGACGTAAAATGTTTGTGACTTAAACTTATAGCTTATATCCTACTTATAACATCACTAGCTGAACTGATCATAAAGACTGTAAAGCGTTTAACAATTAAATGCAAAGAACACAATCATATTGTTAAAAATATAATACATGGAGCTACAACGGCTGAAAAATCAAGCGCCCGCCAAAGATTTGGATGAATCGATACGTATGCGAGTTCGATAACTTCGAAACTTTTTAAACTTTTTTTGTCACATGTAGTATATACAACTGTATCCAGTCCCAAGGTGAACAAAGCTGATGAGACTGGTTTCCCATCCGGATGTTTGTTCACGTGAAATTTATGTTTGTAAAACGTCCTTACAACACAGGATAAGGTTATCCTAAAGTAAGGGCAATTTTTTCCAAAAATAAAAACACTATGCTGAATAATACTATGTTTATCGCAAAACATTTTTCCAGTAGTGGGGATCGAACCTATACCCGCTGGCGCAAGAGACAGCTTCATTATCCAGTACGCCAATCAGGAAATTACCTTTGCTCACCTATTCTGCAACATCTCACGCGCTATGAAATACAACAAGCCGGTGTCACCAATCTCCAATAACAACTGAGTATGTGAATTTCTTGCAACACACAAACCATGACTTTAACGTGAGCTTGAAAATTGTAGCTAGCTTTAATTAATTTTTTAATAAAAAATTTTGACGATTAAAGGATAATAATTTTAAATACCAAAAAAATACTGTTAAAAATTAGACAGTCTCATGAAGACTAGCGACAGAAGTGAAAACATAAAACAATATCAAAATTAAAACTGTATAACATTTAATTCTACATATTGTGTAGGCGCTTTGAACGATAATGACAGTATTTGTATCATATCCATAGCTACAAATATGCGTATTCCTTTTTCAAAAATAGCTCATGGAAATCGTTTGGTGCCGATGACGTGAATTTCACACTTCTTGTTCACCCATAAAGTATCCATCGTGCCTAAAGAACTTTTCACTTCAAAAATCTCCGTCTTAATATTGTATTATCATATTTTATAAGCCAGTAATACATATTATTCACAATCTCGATAGAATGTTTGAGAGGTCACAGACCTCTTTGCTGCAGAAATCGTGGGAACCGCGAAATAATAGCCATTAGTTTTTAGTGATCATTTTTATTCATCGCCATACCTCAGCATAATAATAATGTTACAATGCAATTTTACGAAGATCTGTCAACTACTATCAATAAATAACATGAATATTAAGCATCATTTCAAGGCTAATTAGACAATTTACAGATTGGCGCCATTTTTATACATGTTTTTTTTTAAATGACCGCTTGGTCCAAAGTGTCGTTGGCATTAATTTCTCGCACTTATCAAATACAAAGTTGAGGTTTATTTACAGAAATAAAATAGACATTGAAAGGTTTTTGGTAATATGCGATTGCTCACCGATAATATGGTCCACCGCTTTAAAATTTTATATGTAGGTAAAATTCATTCGCTGAACTATGTCTGCGAAAATCTAGTCTAGTAATACTAGAGCGACGCAAGTTTAATCCTGTGGTCTAAGTCGATCCCGTAGGTTATGGATTCTTGATTGACTTGAAGGGGCAGAACTCAACACGCTGGATAAAGATGTTTTCAATATAAGTTATCTTTAACTTTAACGCAACTCGGAGACATCAGTTAGTGAGTTAAATAACATTATGTACGTTTGTTTGCCTGCCCCTAAAATACCACAAGAAATAGAGTTCTTAAAATATTTACCATGAAGCATGGTCCATGCTTGATAATAAATATTTTAAGAACCGAACACAGAATCCAAAATCATGATTTTTTCCAACTAAACGAAGTGGTCCAAAATATCTTTACGCACAATGCCTTAATTTCCTTTCTGGGATCGATCTTTCTCACAGAAAACGAATAAAATCGTTGATAAAATCCAGATTGGATAAAATAGGAATAATATTGTATGATTTTTCTATTAAAATTACGAATTGTATTAGAAGTTTGAACATGAATATTTGAATGATCAATCCGTGTAAGCAATGAGCAATTCATTATTCTTACAATTAAATATAATTAATACAAGCCGAGACTATATCGAAAGCGGATTTATCGGCTCCTCAAAGAATTGATCCTAATTTTATTTACAAGAATTAAACTAGCACTTACCCGCTGAATAAATACAAGAAGACATTTTCTTTATACCATTAAAACATTTCTATGTACAATAATATACACGAATGACAACATTTGTACGTTACATTTACTATTATAGTCGATAACTACATATTTAGACGGGGCTAAAAACGGAAACAGTCAATACTCGCTAGGGAATCTATAATCAGACACGTTGAGTACAAACTTTGGCATTCACCGGCGTGCGACTAGTCCGCTCAGCGAGCATAGAGAACACTTTCAATATCTTCCTCCCGCGCTGTCACTGCGGCCGACCATAGAGCATTTTTTATTAGCTCGCGGCCCACCAAAAAGCACACACCTCAATATTGTTCCGCGCCGTCGCTTGCAGCGGCTTCAAGCGCACACTACACTAGACTGGACAGGGGTGCCCTGGACGTGACCGGCGACGCAGGCAGCGGCTGCAGCGGCTGCGGCGCTTGCGGCTGGAAGTACACGCCGGGCTCGTTGGAGAACTGCGGGTGGATCGGCAGCGGCGTGTGCGGCATGGACGGCCGCGACTCGTGGTACAGTATCGGCACGCGCACCAAGCGCTGAGCGGCGTGCGCCATGTTCGCCGCCTCCAGCTCGGCCGCGAGCTGCCTCTTCCACTTGTTTCTGCGGTTCTGGAACCAGATCTTCACCTGCGTCTCGGTCAGGTGCAGGCTCGCCGCGAGGCCGGCCCGCTCCGAGCTGCTGAGGTAGCGCTTCATGTCGAAGGTCGACTCCAGCTGGAAGACCTGCGAGCGGGAGAAGACCGTGCGCGTCTTCTTCTTGCGCTTGCCGAGCGCGGCGCTGGGGTCGCGCTTCTCGTCCTTGTCGAAGTCGTCGCTCTCGTCCACGTCGGCGTCCGAGTCGGGGGCGTCTTGCTGCTGCGGGTAGAGGGCGGGGTGGAGGCGCGGCGAGCGCGGGGATGACCGGTCGGGCGAGGGGGGCGTGGGGGCACGAGGGGGGCTACGCGGCCGCGGCGAGCCCCCAGCAGAGCCATCCTCGTTGGTGACGCAGTCCTCTGGAAGGGAAACGTGACTTTAATAACACCGATCGGAGCCTGTGATGCCTGAACATTAATAAAAATGCCTATAACGATAGTGATTTCATCAGACGCATTCGGAGACGCTGCGTTTTTCTTTTAACTTGCAGCAATGTATACGCTGTGAAAATGTTCTTTTGCTCAGAGAAATATTTCTTTTCATTGCGTTACCCGTCCAATGAAAGGCCTGATGATATATAACACAAGTGAGAACTAGCTAGCTAAGTACAAGCAACAGCTCCCACAAACTTTATTTGTTATTTTATCAATTGTGTTTATTATTTGCTGTGGTTACATTGTTTGTGGAGAAAAATAAATGCATATTATTATTATATTAATGTGATCATCGAGGCAAAAGATGGGGAGAAACTGATCCACAGATTGCCCTATTCAGGGCAATTTTGTATATCGTCAATTTTAATACGATCAAATAGTGCCTGTTTTGATTGACCTGTTTGATCTGGAACCATCGAGGTGAATGAGACTTTACGTCAAATTTTTAAATAATTAGAAAGAAATATCTTTAGAAGTATCGGTAAAACAGTTTTATTGACAATTCATATAAAATTTACAACATCAAATCTAAATTTATCATTAAATTTATCTTTAGAATAATATGAAATAATTGAATTATTTCCGATCCACTGAAACATAACCTAAATCGAACATTTTACAAAAAAAAATTCCTAGAATAGATATCGCGGATTTACGGATGAAAGAAAAATATGATAGGCTAATAGGAAACAGACTAAAAACCAGACTATTAAACATTGCAATTTAGTTCCAGTACCTACTGGTTGAATATTGATAAAGAATTTTTTTTTTTATTGCACGCGATGAACATTCAAAAATAGAATAAGTTGGAGCAGGCACTCGCGACAGTCGAGTAATTTAATTAACGATACAACAAACACCTCGACGCGGGTTAATAGCGTTTTAACAAAGAAGAATTATCGAGATTACAGCAGAAAGGTTTCATTACTACAATACGCATTTCTTTTGATAATGTACCCGATCCAATTATGCCCCTGTATCGAATTAATCCGCTAAATCTAATCGTCGCTCCCCACGCCCCTGATTAGGCAATTTCACGGAATGTGAACGGGGTCGGGTTTTCTTTCTTTTTTTACGTAAAATTCAGAACTCCTTAGCTGTTTATAGTATTTGAGACAAGTATTATTTTATTCTCATTACATGCTTTCGGAAATTTCACATAGAATAATGTAACAGATAAATTAAGTTTCATTTATAAACGCAACGCGTATTACCTCTAAGTTGCAAAGAAAAGAATTCCCGTTTTATAACAACTCAAGGTGATATCAGTAACCAGCATAACGAACGATGTTAATTTACGCCTACCTATCACATAATTATTCCGCTAGACTTCTTCATAATACATCTTAAAACTGGAGTTCGAAATAAACACAACACCTAGTGATTATTTATTCCAAGTATGATAAAGTCATTTAAATACATGACTAAATAGGGCATATAATTTAGCAGTTAACATGACGACTTTAATTATTAGGTATTACTATTTGTTGCAATTATAAAAAAATTAATAAATTATTACAAATGGTAAATAAATTATTAAAAACGTAGGTTGGCAACAAATGATAAAAAAAAAAAAACGCACGATAATACTTAATCCAATCAAGGCAGGTGTTTTTAATCTCCGTTACATATCACACCGGCGCGCAGTGTTCACGTTCGAAATTCAAAACCGAAATTCGAACGTGTCACTAGCTCGAAGGCGAATGTCATCAACGCTGTTACATGAATCACTACAATTGAATCAAGAACGTACCGTTCCGTGTATTACCGAAAAGTGTATACTAAAATCACACCTTGTACAATCAACACAAAGTTCACTTTCGAGTGCTCTGCAAGTTCTTTTAAATTCATGCACGACTTCTTAACCAGCGTAAACTGGACCGATGTATCTAGAACCGTTTTGCAGTGTTGAGGCTCTTCTTATGTTGACCGTGTGATTATAGTGTCCAAAGTAACTTGATCCCGGTGAAATAATTATAATGTTAGGTGTTAAAGCTCTTGTTGCGTGGCCAACGGTCGCCGTGATTCGAATTGATTTTAGAAGCCGTACGAAACTAAGCCTTTGTTAGCGTTGCTTTCTGTTTACACAAACGCTTACTAGTTAAGCAGTTTATGAGTTTGTTGGCAAATTGCGTTTAGAAATTATTCAATAAGTATTTGTTTTGTTTCGAAGCTTAAGTTAATTGAGCATTAATATTAAGCACATTATTCACTCTAACTAATCTGTGACAAGGCCGAAAATTATACTATTGTGATTTTAATTTTAATTTCTGTACAATGCGTCACATTTATTGCTATTTGCTGTATAAACTGTTTAAGTAGATATAGGATCTTCGAAATACTCAGTTATAAATCTATGTTCAGTTTTTGATTACTTATACAATCACCTTCTAATAACTAGCATGGGAGTTGTGTTTAACTTTCTGTATCTTTTTTATTTTTCCGATTTTAAAAAAATAGATAGAATGAATATATTGTTAATTCTGTTATGGGTACTGTTCCTATTCTCGGAAAAGAGAAAGGGAGCCCTTGTTCATCCGCTGAAAAAACCATGTCGGTTAATCGAACATTTCTTTCGACTGCAAAGCCATCGAAGGATCCGTATTTAAAATGCAGGATCTAAACGTACATTAACACCGACGACCTCGATCCGTCGTACGTTTTGCTTCCTTTTTTTTTTAAACGCACCATTTCCAATTTCCGAACGTTGAAACTCCAATGACAAACGTCATCGATTGCTATAAAAAATAAAAGGCCAACAAATCCACTAAAAGCTTAACAAAACCGCATTCGAAAATTAAAACAACCCGTACGCGGCAACGCCGACGCGTATGCTGCGCAGCGCTTGGCGGGGAACGGGACGCAGCTAGGGTTTCGCGCGGGCGCGAGCGAGACGGGTGCACCTTTGACATTCCGGCAACGCTGCTATACGTAGATAATTGTAGGCGGATGGCAGAAAAGTATTGTTCGGTCGGTTTGGGCCGCGTGAAATGGCGTCGCCTTTGTTTCGCCCCGAGATGGGTTTTGGGAAATTAAAGCGAAATGAGTGGGGTTGAGAGAGCGGAGACGCGAAATGACGATTGCTTGTTTACCGTAAACATGTCTTTTAGCGTATGAAAATGTGGCGGCGTATTTATATTTTCTGTTCCATTTTTCAAAAAGGGTTTATTTAACCGTAACTTCGTTATGCTGGATTACGAAATGGCGTTTAGTTTATTGGCGTGCCTTTGTTCTTCGCTGTGTTTGTATAATAGCGAGGTTTTGTGCAGATTGCAATTTCAATTCAAATTTTGAAATAGTTGAGTTATTTTACGACGAGAAATTTGATATTTCTGCTTTTTTTGTGTTTTAAAAGCGACGCACGTACATCTCGCCATTGTGTAGAGTCTACACTGTAGACTATATTTTTTATAAAAAAAGGTTATTAAAAGTAATTTTAATTAACAGTAATTTTATAAATTAGTTATTTACGTATTCCTTGGATGACATATCAGTCGATATTTTATTATTACGGTTATACAAACCGTAGACAAATTATTTTAATTTTTTATTCTTTATCTGTGCACACTTAGTGAGGCTATCGCGTAACACATCGTTCTTATGCTTTTATAGGATTTCAAAATTACCACAGATCAGTAAATAATCATTCGCTCGTAACGGTTAATATGGAAATGATCGCTGAGACTTTTAAAGACGTAGAGAGAGACGTGATTACCATTTAATAAGCATTAAATTCGTTCTTTATCAAATTAAAGTATCATAACATTACCCGCTATTCGACGACTCTGAGTGAATTTATGCGTATACGTAAAGAGTATCACTACATAATATGATTAGATCTTTCAAACTACGCAACGGATTTTGATGCGATTTACTTTAATAGATAAAGTGATTCAAGAGGAAGTTTCATATTGTATATTTCACGCATAATTTAGTTGAGAAACACTGATAATTTTAGAGGTTTTTAATGCGATATCGAAATTTAACATTCGGCATTGAACCTACCCACCATTGGCACCAATCCTACTATATTAGCGCTGCTTTGATCTACGTGTCTGACGTAGTGACGTTCCATTCAAATCGGATGATGGAAAGTTGACAATGTTTAACTTGTATTAGGGATGTATTTTAAAAGCTGAATTCGATTAAGTGATTGCCACGACCATCTAATAATGAGACTTTGGATGCGTTGCCAACCCTTTAAAAGATTAGGCTGAAGACGGAACACAAAAGTGTAATGGCCAGTTCACCGGTCTTCCATTCACACGCAGCGATCCATTCGTTCAATGGACTGACTTTACAGTAACCTCCTTGACTAATCTTTAATTCGAAGCCCAGCAGCATTCCATTTTTAAAACGAATGATTATAGTCTCAAGTGCGTGTGTGTGCGTATGAATAACGGCAGTAACCCACGTGCAGCAGCATTCCATTTTTAAAATGAATGATTTTAGTCTGAAGTGTGTGTGTGTGCGTATGAATCACAGTAACCTGAGCGGGATTCGCGCCGGAATCGATTAGGACGGAGACGCCGCGGGGAGGCCCTAGCAGTGCACACGCCCGCGTTACGGTGACATCGTTCCGCGACGCGCCACAGTAGCGTTCGAAATCGTATGGGGCGTTAAGATCATCATTCCATCATCGTTCATTCACGCGGCGCCGTGGCGGTAGAATTTGCGCTCTCGCTCGCTCAGCTATCTAAAACGCGATGCGTCTCCCTCCCACTTCACGTTTGTGTACAGTTGCGTATAGCGTTTATATTCGGATTTTTATGTATTACTTTTTTATCAAGAAATATGACTTTTACTCGCGAATATACTTGTGCGCGCAATAATTGAACTATTCACGTTCGAGCGCATGGTGCCAGCAACAATTGTAACTTTAAGTGCTGACTACATTCTTAGCGGTCAAAATGTCGAGAGGAAATCTGTATATCTTCGAAATAATAACAAAAAAAAATCGAAAATAGGTGAAGTCTGCCAGTTCGCAGTGTGGTAACGTTGTGTGGACTATACCCTGATACCCTCTGTAAAAAGGAGGCCTTTGACCAGCTGTGGGACATAATAGGTTGTTACTTGACTTTTACATTGTCTACAGTGGAATTGTTACTCTCAAAAGTTTACTTAATTTCAGTGTAATTATCATTTTGACAATCGTTTCTCAAATTTTTTTTTATTTTAATCATTTCTTACAATTGTTTTAATCCTTAAAATTGTCTATCAAATCGTTTGACAATTTTTTTAAACACGTTTATACGCACCACGAGGCGGGGTCCTTTCGTGTGGTCTCTGCCAGTACCAAGGGGCCGGCACTAGGCCGCCATAACGCCCGGCCAAAGCACTCCATTGCGATATAAGTCCCAGCCTGCAAAAGAACCATATCTTTAGCAATTTGATAGCTAGCACATAGATATAAATAATAAATAAATATAATATAAATATTTCCGAACACAATTTTACACGACTTTTTCTACTCCCCAAAGTAAGCAACTATGGGTACAAGATAACTTAAACATACCATAACAATACTTAAACATACAACATAACATATCACTGAGATATGTCCTACGATCACTAACCGGACTAAATAAAAAACTGTAAATATTTTTTTATGTGAAATTTATTAAGCGAGCAGGCTTTTCGGTGATTACCAACAGATATCTACACCTGATGGGTTGCATATGCGTTGCCAACCTTTAAAAAAGTGGGCCCCGGTTACCTCACTCACCAGACGACACGAGTAAGTACAATAGTTTCACTTCTCGGTCTTCTGGGACGCCGTGGTATTCCCCGGACGAGCCTGCCCATTTTTACAAACGGAAGAAGCTTCTTCATGAGTTACCAAAGTACAACTTGTAATAATAAATAATTTTTACGCCGTACATGTACTATAATATGGTAGAGGTAAACATATGAGACTTGCCTTACACAGATAATATTAATAAACATCAAAGCATAATATTAGTAGACCAGTTTCGGGTTTTCAATTCGCCTTTGGCATCACTAATTAGTTAGCTTGCATACAGACAACGCCGTTTGTATAGCATATCGAATCGTACTAATTGTAGACGACATATATGCATCGTCTTAGAACTGAATGAGAGGTACTCTTTGTTAAAAGAAACCATTCTAAAGATACTTAAGAGTTTCTGCTTTTAGAGTTTTTATTTTGATTTTAATCTTTCAACTTTGTGCTTGCGCGAATACTTTTTTTTATTTGAAACTAGCATCTTTTGTTATCGTCACTAGGCAAATATCTTTTGCTTTTCGTAACTTAGGCACAGGAAACAGATTTTGGTTAGGTATTATTTATATTAAGAACTCCTTATCACCTTAATAACCTTGGGATTTTAGGAGGTCCTTAGATCCTTACTCTCGATAGTCTAGTGTTTTCAGTCACCATAGACTCACAACGAGTTTCTATGGGTGTTGTGTGTTTCCATGAGTTCGACCCAACGGGATAATAAAAGAAGTAAAAATATCATACACATTTCTTAGTACTCAATCATCATCAACCTCCTGACCTTATCCCGGCTAAGTGGGTTCGTCACAACATGTAAATCGTGTTATAAGTGGTTTTGGCTACGTTTTTTACGATCGGCCACCAGCCTGAAGTCAGCCCTCCTTGGGAACAAACACTCAGATCCTGAAGAATCATCCGTGGGTCACACAAATACTTGTCCCTTCATAATACTGAATACACTTGCTAATAAGCAACAGCATAACAAATATTAGTGCATCCCCGTCTTCATAAATTCAGTGATATTTACTCGGAAATAATCAGAAAACCGGTCAAGTGCGAGTCTGACTCGCTCACGAAGGGTTCCGTACCATTATCCATAATAAACTAATTGGCAAGTATCTATAGATTGCCTAACAACCACCACGCGTTTGTTGAATGGGTGCCGCCTTAAATATTTTTATTAGTATTTTTTGTTATAGCGGCAACAGAAATACACCATCTGTGAAAAATTCAGCTGTCTAACTATTACGATTCATGAGATACAGCCTGGTGAAAGACGGACAGACAAGCATCAGAATCTTAGTAATAGGGACCCGTTTTAAGCTTCGGGTACGGAACCCTAAAAAATGAAAAGCTCCTCACTAGGATTCGAAGACATGACCGCAGATATAGAATAAATTATTAATATTAATTATTAATATTAGTTATTAATTATAATTATTAATTATTAATATATATTAATAATATAATATGAACATATATTATTAATAATTTCCTCGAGATAATATATATATTATACCTCTTATAAGAAGTAATTGTTCATTTTACCGTATAACATCGAGATCATGTTCAAAATGAACAAAACTTAACTTTAGGTAAACATTTACAGATACAAAGTAAAAAACAGTACACCTAGAAATCCCGCCTTTAAAATGTAACCTGTTTCTCCGTTCTTTATTGGAAATCGCCTTTTGTGCGACATAAACAAGCCTCCTCGCTTAGCCGTTATCGATGTCGGTGTATAAATATCGATTGTAGGGAACAAAGAGGATTGGGGCTCTCGCTTCTGGGAGCGCCTTGCAATAGTCAAGAGCGTTGCTGTTGTCTACAGAACGGTTTTAACGGCGTTCGTTCTACGTTCGTACTACGTTCGTTCTACGTTCATTCTAAGTTCGTCCTACGCTTACTCTACGTTCGTTCTACGTTCATTCTACGCTTACTCTACGTTCGTTCTACGTTCGTTATACGTTCGTTCTACACTCGTGCTACATTCGTTGTCAGAATGATTTTAAGGACTCTTGTGTATTTTTATATATCTTTTATATTGTATATATAGTTATTTTTGGTGCTAATCTCTGCACTCAAGCTCCGTGAGGTTTGGTATCAGCATTAAATGAATTTGGTTCATTAGACAAATTTATTTTATTGGTAAGTTAAAACAACTACAATTTACTACATAAATTCTAAAATTATTTATGAATACATTTCTTCACGTCTTGCCATAAAACATTAAAAATAGATCGTACATCACCACAAAACGGTCCTTTACAAATGCTATCACGAAATTTGAAATAATGCTACGCCGTAGCGGGCACAATTGTCTCGACAGTAGTGTAGTCTAGACAGATCCGTAGCCTTCACGTAGGCAACCGTAGAAACGTAGAGGTAACGTAGACGTGCTTAGGTATAAATGCCAGAATATTGAGATTGTTAATTTTGTTGTTAATTCACATAATTTTGCAACACTTTTGTAATGAATAAAAATTATTTTAAACACAAGTTAAACATTAATATTAGCTCTATGAATGCTTGTGTTAGTGATAAGATATTTAATTAACGTACTGATAAATTTCAGCACTTTATATCAATGTAGACGACTCGTTAAATCCAACGCTCTGTTTTGCATTGACATTGTAAATATCAATAGCCATTGGTGCCTTTATCGCAGATATTATATCGACAAAGCCCACCGAAGTGCTAGAGTCGCTAATGGAAAATTGTGGGGGAGAATCACGACAAATACACACTAAACTGTTAATGTTGACTAAAAATCTCGTGTTTGGATAATATTACTGGTCGTGGCAACGACCACAGCTAAAGGAGACAGAGATGTATAATAGTGATGTAATTAAATCTATCTAAAGGAAAACGATACAGAATGTGAACCTGTGTCAGTTAACTAAACCCACAGAGTATGGTGATCATAAAGAATAGATTCAATTTTACCACACTCATACCTTACAGCAGAGTAAAAGAAGGACAATTACATTTAACTTATTAATTGTTTGGTTTCATTTGGTTACGGGTCTAAAAACCAGGGTCTAATAAAGAAGAGAACGAGCGCTTGTATCTTAAAACTTTCGCAAGTCTGGACAAATTTATTACTCACAGAGCGACCCAGTTAACACAAATTAAAAATAGTTGACTTAAAACAATCTTATCAAATATACTTCGTTGTGTTCTAAGTTTTTTACTAACTGACTATTGTTTTTTTCTTATAATTCTTACAATTCAATAATTTAAACATTTCAATGGATCTCTTTAAAATCATCACTTTAATAGACATACCAAAAAGTTCGGGTAGGTTAGCACAATTATTTATGTATATAGCAATCCCGATTTAACTATGTATGTATATATTACGGTGAATAAAGTAGAATCTCCAACGAGTAATCAAAACCGCTCACGTTAGAAATCAAGCCGCGATAAAAAGAAATCAATTTCCAACTCGAAAGAGCTACAGAAGTCGATAATAGCGCAAAAAAAACGAGTCTCAGCCGCATTACCAATTTGCATTGGTCCCGCATTTAATCCCCGCTGCGAAGTTCCAAACTCAAATTCCATTACACGATAAAGTACTACTTCCTTTAAAAGCGGAAAGGAAGAAGCCGCGGCGTGATTGGTCGGCTCACCGCGCTCTGATTGGCCCACTCAGGACCCCGCCTCCCTGGAGGCTATAAAAATCGATGCGCGTCACCCGCAAGCTCTTTCACTCGCGGCGCGTCCGCTCGACACTCCGCTCTTCTCGCTAATAATGGCGTTTGTGCTTTTCTTTTATGTTATAAAGTGTTTAGTTGTACCCGTTGTTCGTGGAAACGACACGGGTGCCTTTTGTTGCCTGAACAGACGGGGAGGTAGCCTCGGACGCGTTTAAAAGCGTCTCGGAGCTATCTTTTCACTTATCTCCCAGGTTTCAGTGTAGCGGCTAACAACAATTTTTCTAGTCTCGAGAGCTTTCGACGCTTTAATGTCGCCGTGTCGTCGTAATGGACGCTTTTTGAAGGGACACGTTTACGCCTTACACTTTTATTAAATTCTCTGTCTGTTCATTTTGTTACAGTTGTACCAAATTTACGAAGCAATCAAATCAAAATTGGAAACATTCTCATTTCATCAATGATTTCGAGGCTGTTTTTATTTGTTAATAATATGTGACATGAAAAATTGCAATGGCATGCCGCAACATATTCTTTCGGACACACACAACACAAAAAACGTACACAACATCAGTTATAATAATTGGAATGTTTAAATATGTACAAATATGATACCATATTTCTTTCAGTATTAGTATATGTACAATTGTAAACCTATATTTCAACATACATTTTTCAATTTATTTTAACGATACGTATGTTGCCCGCAATTGAATACAACTTACTAAAAACACAAAGTTATTGTAATATAAGTTTAAACCTACGATTGTACTAAATTTTCTCATGTTCCGAACGCTTTCAGGAAAACCTACAAGTTGCGGAATCGCTCTTAAGGTACCGCTACGAAGACATTTTTTAGTGCTACACCGAAAATACTAGATCGCGTGAATATTAAAAATGACGCAGTTTGGATATTAAAATTATTAAAACTTTAACTGTTTCTTAAAAATTTGTCGCATACAAAGG